AGTAATTGTTGCTCTTGTTCCTGTTCATTTCTTCTGTCATTATGTGTGAATTCTCATATATTTTTGTCTAGAATTATTGATATTCGACGACCATATATAAAACTAATATTTATACTCGATGGAAAGCAAAAGAGTTCGCAACATGAGTTAATGAAATTTTTAACTTTAAAACAGATATATTCATTCATTTATTTGTCACTGGCGGAGACACGCTGAAATCATTCGACGTAACGCCGTGAACTCTGACGCAGCACCTGTTGGAATACTGAACAGATGTATAGTCCATTGGATGAATCTGCGTGATGGCGCTGATGTCGAAAATAGGACCTTAAGGATCCTGCTACCTTTAGCCAATCTCTGCCAATTTCTGTGAACGTGATTAGCAGACTCCAGCAAAGCAGTTTGCCAGTTCAGTTCAGCCAAAAAAAGTTCTTCGGAACTCGGCGGAAAAATTCCTGACGAGGCATCTCATGCTTTTGAACGACAGATTTATTGCATCTGGAAACATCCAAGATCCCGTGACGATTTACCATCGTGCATTGTTAACCTGAAGCTTTTCGATAGTCCCCAGTTCCTTTGATCATTCGCTGCAAAATCCAACAGAGCCTAGGGTACCACTTCCAAAAACATCATCTCCTCACTTATAGGCGACAGTGATTCTTTAACGTTGAAGAAATTATGACCGTAACTTTTGGAGCCTGTACAATTATACAATGCGAAAATGGTGCATTTCTTTTGTGCGCTTACCGAAACGAGCACGAAAGACGATTTATTTATACGTACAATTATAGCAATTATGTTCCTCAGTGTATTTTAATTTTGGTTAACTTCTGCGCTGAATAGCATATTTAAATAAATTCCCTACTAATACCTGTATTATGACTTGAATATGGCAAAGAAAACAATAGTGTATATGTGTACAGAAAGATATCATCAATAAAGACGTAGTGTCTGTTTCTATTCTCCCGATGTAAGTACATTGTGATAGATCTACATGTTACGGTCGTCGAAATATGCAGGGGCTGTTGTGGCCCCACGGAGCGTCTCTGAACGTATGGCATATGGGACAGCCGTAGCAACAGCAGTAGTTCGTGTAGATCGAGGTCGACAACAAAACCGAA